CGCTAGTTCGGGCTTGCCACCCGGCGCGGAGGGCGTGCGGAGGGGCGTGTACACTCCGCCCCAGAAACGCGACATGCTTGGCCTGGCTGCCCCGCGTTGGGTGTCACCAAATGAAGCAGGTGGCCTTTGTTCTTTTTCCTTTTCAGGAGGAAAACGTTTAAGACGGGAACTGGCTGCTCTCTAAAAGTCGGGCAGGTGGCCGGGCTCGGTGGCTAGGGCGGGAGGCCGAGGTGAGGGGATGCCTGAGTCCGTGGGCCCAAGCTAAGCCCGGGCAACTTGGCAAGACCTCGTCTCGGCAGTACTTCAAAAACCAGCCGGGCGTGGAAGCGCAGGCCTGTAATTCCGGCCCCTCGGAAGGCGGAGGCGGGAGCATCGCCGGAGCCCAGCGGCAGGCTGCGGTGGCCGGGAGCGCGCCACTCACTCCCGTCTGGGTGGCAAAGTGAGACTCCAGCTCAAAAAAGAAAGCTGGCGGCTCACACCGACCATCCCAGCGCTTTGGAAGGTGGAGGCAAGAAGGCTGCCTGAGCCCAGGGGTTCGAGGCCAGCCTGGACAACTTGGCAAGATCTCATCTCCACGATAAATGAAAGAGTTAGCCAGGCATGACGGCACATGCCTGTAGTTCCAGCTACTTGGAAGGCTAAGGCGGGAGGATCATCTGAGCCCAGCAGGTCAAGGCTGCAGTGGCCATGAGCGGACGACTGCACTCCAGCCTGGGCGGCAGAGAGACTCTGACTCAAAAAAAAAGATTGGGCAGAACTCAACACACAGCAGGTTGGGGCTTCGGAGTAGGGGGGGCAGCTTCCCCGTGTGTGTCTTTCTTGCCCGGCCTTGGTGTTTGGTTCGGGAGTGTAACATTTCGTGTAACATTTGGCTTATGGCAAAATACTTTCTAACCCTCCCTCACCGCACCCCACCCCCACACACTCTTCGCTTTTTCTTTTCAATCTGGATTTTTCTTTTCAATCTGGATCTCTCGCTCTTGGAGAGGCCGGCCCTTCCGTCTTTGCAGAGCACTGGGCTTGGTTCCGTTTCTCGAGTCCGCTCCGTCACTTCCCCTCTGTTGCAATGGCTCCTGCCCCCTTGTCTTTTATTTCCTTCCTCTATTCTTGTTTCCTTGGGTTTGTGTTTCTCTCCTTCCAGCTTCTTCTTTCTACTTACTATTTAGATCAAGGTCTCACTCTGTTGCCCAGGCCGGAATGCAGTAGCATGACCTCGACTACCTTATCAGCTAATAAAATCACTCCCAACTTTTTTCCTTCAAGTTTGCAGGAAGTTTCTAACATTCTTTAATTTCAGTCTTTCAGTGTTTTTTTGCTTTTGTCTGTAAATACCATATTGCCTGATTTATTTCCTAGTCTTAGATGTATCTTTCAATTGGTAAGCTTAACCTAATTCCACTTTACTCTATGGTTTCCACTCTCCTTCCTTTTTGTTTTATGGCTTTACATTTACTTTGCTTGTTGTTGTTGTTGGCATCTCACTCTGTTGCCCAGGCTGGAGTGCAGTGGCACACCCATGGCCACCGCGGCCTCGACCTGCTGGGCTCAGGTGATCCTTCAGCCTCAGCCTTCCAAGTAGCCGGAACTACAGGCACATGCCACCATGCCCGGCTAATTTTTTGATTTATTGTAGAGGTGAGGTCTCGCCACATTGCCCAGGCTGGTCTCAAACCCGTGGGCTCAGGGAATCCTCTCACCTCGGCCTCCCAAAGTGCTGGCATCATAGGTGTGAGCCACTGCGCCCAGCCTTGCATTTGCATTTAAGTTCATGTCGGTATATGGTGTGAGATGTCAGTCCAGGTTTGTTTTTCTGCCCGTGGATGCCCCTTTACCAGCTTTCACTGGACAGACTCCCCTTCCTCCACGGGAATGCTTCTGCATCTTGTGTCAAAAGCCGGATGGCCGTGGCTGTGTGGATCCATTTCTGAAGTTGCTGTTTTGTTCCACTCCTCTGTCTCTTCCTCCACAAGTACCCCATAGTCTCGGTCTCCTGTAGCTCTCTAATAAGCCACTGACACGGGGTCAAATGATTCCTAATTTCTTCTTTTTCCCAAAATGTCGCTGTCTGACGTCTTTTGCCTGCCTAGTAGAGAGTAAGCTTGTCTATGTCTACAAAAGCCATGCTGGTATTTTGATAGGAATTTCATTTGTATAGATCAATCTGGGGAGAACTGATGCATTTCCCGTGTTCTCTTTCATCTCCCCGTGGTCTTTGGTCTTCGGTTTCTTTGATCAGCATTTCCTAAGTTTCACCACACAGGTCTGGAACATGTTTTGTCAAACGTGCGTCCCAGTGCTCCACTGCAAGTGGTACTGTGCTTGATTCGGGCCTCACACAGTCATCGTTAGAGTCCAGAAAAGCAGCTGCTTTGCGTGTGCTTCTTGCTCTTGTCCACCCCCTTGCTTTCTGTTGGGCAGATCGACTTTTCTCCCACTGGTTTAAAAGTTGTGCTTCTGTCCTGGTTTTGTTTGCCCCCTGAGGATCGTTTCCAGGACTCCATGTGTTGGTTTTTTATCATCCTCCCTCGCTGCCCTGGGCGGGGTCAGCGGCTTTCATGCTGTCGGGCCAGAAGGGCTCTAGCCGGTGCAGGTTAGCCACCTTGACAGGCAGCCCCCGGGCACCTTCACCAGAGGTGGAGACGTCCCAGCCCATCTCCTCCCTCTGCAAGCGCGGTGGATGTCAAAGTGAAATGGGGAATCAGAAAATTGGCAGTGTCTGAGTCTCCCCCTCCCATCCCAAGTTAACCAAACCGGAACCTCTAAGGGTGGTGCTGGGCATGGCTGTTTTTAAAAGCTCTCCAGGAGAGTCACACGTGCGGCC